ATTGATTATGATGAGGAATATAGCGGTGTGTCTGTTATGACATGATGATATTTAAGATGGCAATCCTTAAAACGATGATTATTACTTTTATGGAGATGTGATTGATGATGCCAATTTTAGTTGATAATAATAATAATAATGATATTATTATTATTATTATTATTATTATTATTGTTATTGATCTTGACAACAACAACAATAATCATAATCATTAAAATTGAAGAAAATCACACCAACATGATAAAAAGATTCGAAACAAAGCCGAGACAATGAAATTATTATTAATATTATTAATTAGTTATTATTATTAACGCATTATTATTATTATAATTGATAAAAAAAAGTTGCTAACCTTGTGACGATTCCGTTTTAAGAGAATGTCCAGAAATAATTTGTTTGACTTCTTGCTAGTTTATATGTATGTGTGTATGAATGTATGTATGTATGGATGTGTGTATGTATGTATGTATGTATGTATTTATGTATGTATGTATGAATGTGTAAGTATGTATGTATGTGTATATGAATGTATGTATATCTGTGTATGTATATGTGTGTATGTTTGTAGGCTTGTATGCTTGTGCGAATGTATCTCCAAATCTCCGTAGTTATTTTTCAACTAATGATGATTCTCATTTCAATGTTCCGACTTTGCATCGCAAGTACGGAACTCTTCCCGCGTATTATTCTTAGAACGTAGTAGTAGTAGTAGTAATAATAATAATATTATTATTATTAATAGTAGTAGTTTTTTGTGTATTAGTAGTAGAAGTTGTTCTTGAAGTAGCAGTAGCAGTAGTAGTAGTAGTTGTTGTTGTAGTAGTAGCAGCAGCAGCAATAGCAGTAATAATAGTCACGTATATTAAAAACAAGTCTTGCATAAAATTGTCAAATCGAAAAAATCCTTTAAAATTAAGAGTATAAACTTGAGCCATTAAACTACAACGAAATAATATATATATATATATATATATATATACAATTCAATATATATATATATATATATATATATATATATATATATAACACTATGACATCATCATCTACGTCATCGTCGTCCTCATCATCTTCATAGTCATCATGTCAGTGTCGTTTCGCAATATAAACAATGATGAACTCTCTCAAGAAATAACTATTTTTATAAATATATATATATATATATATATATATATATATATATATATATATTATATGTATATATATATTATATATGTGCGGACGTATATACTATATATATATATATATATATACATACATATATATATATAATATATATTTATGTAAATATATATATATATAAATAAATATATATATATATATGTATAGTTTAGGCAGCTCAATTTTGAAATGACCAATCAGAGTTCACCTAGAGTTTTGATGAAGATGATGACGACGACGACGACGATGATGATTAAGTTGAGGATAGTAAGAATGATGATCATGAAAAACTGACAATCATTGTAGTAATGATGATTACATTAAAGATGAGGACAATGATGAAGCTAGTGTTTTTACAAATACAAAAACACCAACATACACACACAAATACACACACACACAAACAACAAACATGCACACAAACAAACAACAACATAAACACAGGCCTAAACAACAACATGCACACACGTACACACAAGTACACACACGTACGCACCAACGTACACACAAAACTACAATTACGTCGGTTAACCCGGTGATAAAGTGTTGGATTTCTTGTTTACCTTTTCCATCCAACGTAAGATTTTTCAAAAAGTAGTAGTAGTTGTTGTTGTTGTTGTAGTTGTTGTTGTAGTTGTTGCAGTATTAGTAGTAAAAGCAGTAGTAGTAGTAGCAGCATCATCAGTAGTAGCAGTAGTACATACAAGAAAAAATTATAAACAACTTACTAATCTAACTTTTGTTGTGTGCATGTTAATGTTTATAGGAGTACGCATATGTAAAATGTATATATATATATATATATATATATATATATATATATAGTATATTCGTTCGTTACGTTTGTGCACCGACACACACACACACACACACATACATACACACACAGACACGCTCAAGAGACATCCTTTCATCCCATGCATCCCATGGCGAAGAATGATAAGATAAGCAAGGAATACGTTCTAGTATGTTTATGAGTGTGTATGTGTATGAACGTTTGTGTGTGTGTGTGTGTGTGTTGTGTTAAACTTTGTGTGCGTGTGTGGTATGTGTGTACATTTATATTTCAAAAATATATTTGTAAAGTTGATTTCATATGTATAATTGTTCATTTATTTGTTATAGAGCTTATGTGACGGCACAGTTTTTACGAGTATATAACGTTTATTTTTTTGATAAACGAATAAATGTATGTGTGTATGTATGTGTGTAACTTTGTGTATTTATGTCTATTCTTATGTGTATGTGTGTATATTGTATGTATGCACGTATGTATGCTCGTTTGATCATCTACAAGTTTGACGAAAATAAATAATTTATAAAAATTGGTGAATACCGTAGCATGCACTCATACATGCACGCACACACATATACACACCTAGATCTTTGTTTATATTGAAATACAAATTCATACCAGAACTGACGAATAATAATGGAAACGTGTGTACAAAATACCTGGGTACAAACACCACACACAAACACACACACACACCACACACACACACACACACACACCATACACACACACACACCATACACACACACACACTATCACCACACGCAGACATACAATGATACACACACATATGTACACACACACACACACACGCAAGTTCACGTGCACACAATGTTTCGCCATGCAGAGGCAAGCAGGCATCATATTCTCACGCGAGACAAAGAAAGTTAACTTTTCCAGGCTGTCTTCCTCTCTCCTTTTTCACTTCTCTCTCTCTTTCTATGTCGTTCTTATCTAGTTTCTCGTTCTTTCTTTATTAGTTCTTTCTCCTATTCTCTCTCTCTCTCTTCATTTATTGGTTTATCATCATCTGACGGTTAAATATACTTTTTTTCTATAACACTTTATGCCTTTCCATTTTGATATTTACAACACTCAGTTCAGTTGAAGTTGCACTCACGCTTTCTTCACACATTCGCTCAATCCTATCATCCTTGTTTTGAACTTATTTTTCATTCATACACCTTTCTCACCCATCTCTCTCTCTCTCTCTCCTGTCATTCTCGGTATTTCTTTGTGTAAACAGGAACATCACTATATAAGGTCTGATATATATAAATATATATATATATATATATATATGCCTGTATATGTAGTATGTGTGCGTGTGTGTGTGTGAGTGACAATGAGTGTGTGTGTGTACTTATTTATAAACTAAAAATTTCAAACCACATCTAAAGTAGGAGTTGAATATAATGAATAACGGAACAGATGTTTAGGCAGATATATAACAGATATATAACAGATATATAACAGATATATAACAGATATATAACAGATATATAACAGATATATATATAAGTTCTAGTAAGGAAAATTGAAAAGGCAAACTTTAAATTGATTAATGCCAACAATTCAGCAGACTTCATACAATACTGTATAGAATATGGTCTCCTTCCAACAAATATATATAAATTTTGATGAGGAAACATACACTGTGAGGTATGTAATTGTACAAACGTGTTGCTCAAGTTTAATTATAATGCTAGCTGAAATTTCCTTCGATATCCAAAGTCAAAATGTAAGGGCTGTTTTAATGATAAGCATTAATTTTGAGCTCATGTTTAATTTGACAGAATCTGATTAATATAGAAGAAGAAAATTGTTAAAAATGCTACTGAATGGCCAAGGTATGTTGAGTATTTTAGTCCCTTAATTCAAAAATAAAGTTTCAATGAGAGAAAAGATATACAACAGCACAATGACTTTTTAAATCATATCACGTCATTCAAGCCAATTCAATACTGGAACAAAATGTTGGATGAGTAAGGGGCGTTAAAATAGAGCTGGAGCGCCATGGAATGTAGCAGATAGATCTGGAAATGACGAGTTGAACAACTTGGGAGTTCAACGTCCAAGTTGGTAAAGATTCCAAAATTTACATTCAAAAAAAATTTTTTTTAGTCCAACGACACATTTATCTTTTTCTAACTCCCTCTATAGTTTGAATGATATTTTATAACCTTAGAATCACCCGATACATCATAATTCAATAGCTGACTGGCTTTATTCGTTCGTTCAATCGTTCGTTCACGAGCAGGCAAGAGTTTATGACGAAGCTTAGAACCGGCATGACGAGTCCTCACCCGAGCCTACCCACCACATGCACTGTACGCCGAATCCAAGGCCATCACGCTGTAACGCACCATCATCCTACCCATTCATTGCATTATTTCTTCCCTAGCTTACCTAGAATTACAAATTCAAAGAGCCCAATTCATTCGCCATTCTGCTCCGCCCACCACCCATATAATGCTTTGGGCTCTAACCTAGTTATATTAATAATAATGTAAAACTTAATAATTAACTTATCTTAAGATGTTTAATTTATATTACAAGATTGTTCCTATCATAATACTATTGCCCTCAACTACCTACAACATTAAATTACTCTCAACTTCAGTTGAATAACATTCGTGAAGTCCTTTTGTCACTTGTTGAATATCACCCCATATCAACTACTACAGAGTGTTAAAGATCGGATTTTGTGGAGGTCGATGGTCGCCAATGTCCTGAAAGGATAAGGCACGGGAATGAAGAAGATCTACCTACACAACGGTGGGCATTTTTCTGCGGTTGCGAGAGATCGCTATTGTAAAAATATTCTTGTATATATCTAATCCCCATAAACATTTCACATTTCAAATTAACTGTTTATATCTAATCTCCTACATTCTACACAATTTTTTTCATGATGCTTCCTGTGTGGTTTTTTACTAGTTATTGATTTTACTAGTTAGTAATTTAGTCTGTGAGTTTTTTGGAAATCACAGACTGGATCGTTTTTTCGTCAAATTCTGATGAAAAATCAAACCTTGAAACATTACAACAGTGCAAATTATTTTTATTCATCGTTCATGAAAAAAAAGAACAACAATGATAACAACGTCAATGATAATTCTATTATTATTATTTTTGTTGTTATCGTAGTGATGATGAGAGTGTAATGATGTAATGATTGTTAGGCACTAAACGGAAAATGATTGAAAATATCTTGTTATGGTTTTATTAAAACAAAATCAGGAAATGATCTAAAATCCGATATTATATATATATATATATATATATATATATATATATATATATATATATTTTCCAATATTCTATAAATTCTACCGAATGT